TTTTTTTTTTTTTTTTTTTTTGATATTTTCAAAAACATTATTTTGGAAATTTTCATATTTTAGTCTTATTTTTAAAACGGAGGAATTAAAAAAAAATAAAAACATTCACCAAACACATTTTTTTTTTTAACTATAAAATGAAAACAAAAACAGTAAAAAACAAAAATGTCTAGTTACCAAACGCTACCTCAAACTACAGCAAATGTCTCTCTTTCGGAGAGCAGTTNTATAAATCCAACCGTTGATCTAAAAGTCCCATGACTTGTGAGGGTTAGAGCTAGAGCCGACGCTATGACGACTCACTCTATTGACACTGGATTAACAGTAGTCTTTTCTTTTTGATGGTTTTACTCACCTAGCAGTATTCAACGCGATAGTATTATACCAATACATAATACTAAAATNGAAGTCAATGGGGCTTTTTATATACTCAACCAAGAAAATTAATTTTTTGTTGCTAAGAGGGTTGAAATCATGATCTCATTAAACCCCTTTTGGATCCACGCGTTTGTTTTTTTTTTTTTTTTTTNTATAAATCCAACCGTTGATCTAAAAGTCCCATGACTTGTGAGGGTTAGAGCTAGAGCTGACGCTATGACGACTCACTCTATTGACACTGGATTAACAGTAGTCTTTTCTTTTTGATGGTTTTACTCACTTAGCAGTATTCAACGCGATAGTATTATATCAATACATAATACTAAAACNTTTAAAACGGAGGAATTAAAAAAAAATAAAAACATTCACCAAACACATTTTTTTTTTAACTATAAAATGAAAACAAAAACAGTAAAAAACTAAAATGTCTAGTTACCAAACGCTACCTCAAACTACAGCAAATGTCTCTCTTTCGGAGAGCAGTANATATTTTAATACAGTGTATAAATTGTTCCTTCTGTGATTTGAACTCATGACGTAGTGCTTACCATGATATCCATTGTTATGAACCCAACCGTTGATATAAAAGTCCCAAAACTTTTGAGGGATTAGAGTTCATAATTATTTAAAGTTAACATTGATCGGTCAGTAAATTGACCATCCGACAAAGGGTTGGACTGCTGTATGCATCGGCTACTCTGGACAAATAGATTTCTAGTTACAAATAAAAGTTCATTATGTTCACGGAATTAAAAGACTAATGCGTCATGAAGGCTACTTGTAAACGTACAATTATTCTATGTAATTAAAGACGATTGGGTAAAATTTGAGGTGAAATTCAAATGTAGTTTGATAAAATCAACTCTAATTAAGTTAATTNGGAATTAAAAGACTAATGCGTCATGAAGGCTACTTGTAAACGTACAATTATTCTATGAAATTAAAGACGATTGGGTAAAATTTGAGGTGAAATTCAAATGTAGTTTGATAAAATCAACTCTAATTAAGTTAATTAGATTGGATTAGACATTTATATCAAATATCTAATTTTTGATGTATTCAAATATAATTTGTGGAAATAAAAAATAAAATATTGTCGTTCAAATTACTTGATGCTTCGTAATCCAACACTTAGACTTTGAATCCATGATATTGTTAGATGTAGGGGTGTTAAAATATGACACAATCTGTTTCGTGAATAAGTAAACTCAACGCGATACGATTAATTAAAAAATCGGGTATGAGTGAAGTTAATTGAAAAAAATATATAATATGACTTGTTTATATGTTGATTATACACAATTTGTAACCTATACAAATTTGAAATGACACGAATTAATGNACGCGATACGATTAATTAAAAAATCGGGTATGAGTGAAGTTAATTGAAAAAAATATACAATATAACTTGTTTATATGTTGATTATACACAATTTATAACCTATACAAATTTGAAATGACACGAATTAATAAAAAAATTAAATATAAGTAAAATACTCTTTAATACGAATTTACTTCAGTGGACACAATTGCCGGATCTAGTTGGATGAAATTTATCACAGATCATCTTATTTCTCAGGTAACTTGAGTGTTTTTTGGGCTAAAAGATAGCCCAGAAATTGTAGAGCTAATACCAAATTTGTAAAGTGAAGGAAGCCCAATACTTCACCGCCTTGACGATGATTACTTTCCTCCCTGAGATACGTCGCTTNACAGATCATCTTATTTCTCAGGTAACTTGAGTGTTTTTTGGGCTAAAAGATAGCCCAGAAATTGTAGAGCTAAAACCAAATTTGTAAAGTGAAGGAAGCCCAATACTTCACCGCCTTGACGATGATTACTTTCCTCCCTGAGATACTTCGCTATATAAACTTCGAAAATGTGAAAAAAATGGAGGGAATATCAGAAAAAAGCTGAGGGTGCGAAAATGGCGCCAAGACGCCTTAGAATGGTGTGTTCCTCCGACGAACACGACGAACCACAGCACCACCAGCAACCACCGCAAGTCGAAGAATACGACGACGACGATGTGGAAATCGAACTACAAGAACCTACACTAAACCTTGAAACAGTAACCCTAAACTCCTCAAACCCAAACCCTAACCCTAACCACAATTATAATCCCTCTGAAGCAGTCCAGCTTNAGCAATCACCATCAGAGACGGAGAACAAAAATGGCGCCAAGACGGCTTCGAATGGTCTGTTCCTCCGACGAAGAAGAGGAACCACAGCACCACCACCAACCACCACAAATCGAATTCTGCGACGACGATATATAGATATGGAACTACAAGAACCTACCCTAAACCTAGAAACAGTAACCATAAACTCCTCAAACCCTAACCAGAACCCTAATTCTAATCCCTGTGGAGCAATCCAGCTTGAAATCTCCAATGACGACTTCATCGACGTCCCTGAAAACTTATCTCCTCTGCCTCCACCTGCACCAGTGATTTCCAGTCAATTTATCAAATCATCTACAGTGTCGACAATGAATAGTACTACCGATTCCAACTTTGAAGCCTCTGATTGGCCCGATCAGTGGCATTTTACGGGGGAATAGGTCTGAATTAGAGAAGGGACTGGTTAGATTCTTGCATTCTCTGCCTTGAGATCTTGGTTCCGGGCTTTGTGAGGTTTGATAATGTCACAAAGGCGAAGCTCTGTTTCAAGCAGTTCTTGTATTCGGATATGAACTACACTGGTGTTCTGGGATGCTTCCAGAAAACGTACATTATATGCATCTTCTTGATCTGACGGTGCCGTTTGTCTTGCAGGTGCAATTTTTTTTGTGATTTTGTGATAGTTCAATTCTTATTAGGTGGTATACATGTGCATTGTTAACTCTCTCAAAATGGAATCTATTCCAAACATATATGCCATAGTTCCTTCCTTCGATAAGGTACAAATATTTAAATTTGATATTTTTAGATACTTTTTCGGACCTATTGCCGATACTAGCAGCCTTGACAAAAAGAAATTGGAAGATTTGGAAACTGAATCCACATAGGAGCGATTGAAGATTCAAACCCCGATTTGGTGCTTCTTCATCCTTTCAAAATGGCTACAACATACTTTTTTTGTGATTTCTTTCCATCAAAGAATCATACAAGCGGCTGAATCCCCAGCGATACACTTTGGCTTGAAAAAGTTTTATCAATTCCAAGAGTCATTTTCATCCAAAATTGCTAAATCTTTCAAAGGATATTCAATACTGGGATGCCTGGATTGAGGGATCATACTTTGGTATACATTAGTCATTTTCTTCCGAATTTGCCAAATCTTACAAAGGGTATTCAATTCTGGGATGCCTGGACAGAGGGATCATACTTTAGTAAAGTCTTAGACAGGCAGTGCAGTCTGAAGGAGTTTTGTATGAAATTATGGTCTATTCTAATTTAAAATGTAAGGAAGTTATGTAGTAGATCCATCACAAACATTCTGTTGCTGTGCTTTTCATAGTATCTATCATGTTTAGTCCATCATTCTTTTACTGCATAAACAATTTTTTGTAGAACTATTTCTATTTCTTCCATGCATTTTTCTTGAAATTTCTTGTAGTTGGAGTGCTCTTGACTTGGAGAAACATGATAGATTTGGGGTTTTTAATTATGAAACATGAACAAGCCCATAATTTTATGTTTATGTCGACAGTGCTGGTTTTAATTTTCAAGTCATTCTACTTAAATGCCGAAGAATTGGATGGGAAGAGGACACTGTTCATACAAAGTCAGGACAACAGAGTACAATCAAGTGTCCTCAGTCCTCACCTAAATCTTAGCCTAGGAATGTACAGAACTTTTTCCCTTTGGAGCCCCATAGCACAGCTTGCACTCATATATTTCTCCTTCAAGGCTTTCTTGCATTCTGCTACGCAACGAGGAAGCGTGCAATGGATTCATTTCGATCTCAAATGCACACTACACACAATCCAGTGCCAGAATTAAGAACCCCACCAGGGTCACCACCATTGCTGCCAAAACCAGCGCTCACTTCTTCCCTGCCTTACCTTCCATTGTCGTATGTTTTCCTCTGCAGCCAAAACCAGTGTCTTGAAGAAACACTACAGCCTCTGCACATGTATGTTTAGGGAGAAAAATAGCATAAACAAGTGGCCATTACCTAGGCAAGACTATGATATATATATATATATATATACTAAGTATCCGAATTTTTAATGTTGGGCATACGCTGTTACATGGTTATTACACATACATCCACTAAGACACATCATGAGCTACTTTTCTCCATGATTTTGTGAATTTGAATCAATGAAAGATCAACATATGGTTGATGCTTGTTCGTGTTTTTGTTTTCCTCGTGTAGATATTGGATTTCGGGGTTCATTGATTGTTATAAATCCAACCGTTGATCTAAAAGTCCCATGACTTGTGAGGGTTAGAGCTAGAGCCGACGCTATGACGACTCACTCTATTGACACTGGATTAACAGTAGTCTTTTCTTTTTGATGGTTTTACTCACCTAGCAGTATTCAACGCGATAGTATTATACCAATACATAATACTAAAATATTTTAATACAGTGTATAAATTGTTCCTTCTGTGATTTGAACTCATGACGTAGTGCTTACCATGATATCCATTGTTATGAACCCAACCGTTGATATAAAAGTCCCAAAACTTTTGAGGGATTAGAGTTCATAATTATTTAAAGTTAACATTGATCGGTCAGTAAATTGACCATCCGACAAAGGGTTGGACTGCTGTATGCATCGGCTACTCTGGACAAATAGATTTCTAGTTACAAATAAAAGTTCATTATGTTCACGGAATTAAAAGACTAATGCGTCATGAAGGCTACTTGTAAACGTACAATTATTCTATGTAATTAAAGACGATTGGGTAAAATTTGAGGTGAAATTCAAATGTAGTTTGATAAAATCAACTCTAATTAAGTTAATTAGATTGGATTAGACATTTATATCAAATATCTAATTTTTGATGTATTCAAATATAATTTGTGGAAATAAAAAATAAAATATTGTCGTTCAAATTACTTGATGCTTCGTAATCCAACACTTAGACTTTGAATCCATGATATTGTTAGATGTAAGGGTGTTAAAATATGACACAATCTGTTTCGTGAATAAGTAAACTCAACGCGATACGATTAATTAAAAAATCGGGTATGAGTGAAGTTAATTGAAAAAAATATACAATATAACTTGTTTATATGTTGATTATACACAATTTATAACCTATACAAATTTGAAATGACACGAATTAATAAAAAAATTAAATATAAGTAAAATACTCTTTAATACGAATTTACTTCAGTGGACACAATTGCCGGATCTAGTTGGATGAAATTTATCACAGATCATCTTATTTCTCAGGTAACTTGAGTGTTTTTTGGGCTAAAAGATAGCCCAGAAATTGTAGAGCTAAAACCAAATTTGTAAAGTGAAGGAAGCCCAATACTTCACCGCCTTGACGATGATTACTTTCCTCCCTGAGATACTTCGCTATATAAACTTCGAAAATGTGAAAAAAATGGAGGGAATATCAGAAAAAAGCTGAGGGTGCGAAAATGGCGCCAAGACGCCTTAGAATGGTGTGTTCCTCCGACGCAGACGACGAACCACAGCACCACCAGCAACCACCGCAAGTCGAAGAATACGACGACGACGATGTGGAAATCGAAGTACAAGAACCTACACTAAACCTTGAAACAGTAACGCTAAACTCCTCAAACCCAAACCCTAACCCTAACCACAATTATAATCCCTCTGAAGCAGTCCAGCTTGAAATCTCCGATGACGACTTCGTCGACGTCCCCGAAAACTTCTCTCCTCCACCTACACCTGCGCCTCCGCCTCCATNTTGAAATCTCCGATGACGACTTCGTCGACGTCCCCGAAAACTTCTCTCCTCCACCTATACCTGCGCCTCCGCCTCCATCTGCACNCTCAAACCCTAACCAGAACCCTAATTCTAATCCCTGTGGAGCAATCCAGCTTGAAATCTCCAATGACGACTTCATCGACGTCCCTGAAAACTTATCTCCTCTGCCTCCACCTGCACCAGTGATTTCCACTCAATTTATCAAATCATCTACAGTGTCGACAATGAATAGTACTACCGATTCCAACTTTGAAGCCTCTGATTGGCCCGATCAGTGGCATTTTACGGGGGAATAGGTCTGAATTAGAGAAGGGACTGGTTAGATTCTTGCATTCTCTGCCTTGAGATCTTGGTTCCGGGCTTTGTGAGGTTTGATAATGTCACAAAGGCGAAGCTCTGTTTCAAGCAGTTCTTGTATTCGGATATGAACTACACTGGTGTTCTGGGATGCTTCCAGAAAACGTACATTATATGCATCTTCTTGATCTGACGGTGCCGTTTGTCTTGCAGGTGCAATTTTTTTTGTGATTTTGTGATAGTTCAATTCTTATTAGGTGGTATACACGTGCATTGTTAACTCTCTCAAAATGGAATCTATTCCAAACATATATGCCATAGTTCCTTCCTTCGATAAGGTACAAATATTTAAATTTGATATTTTTAGATACTTTTTCGGACCTATTGCCGATACTAGCAGCCTTGACAAAAAGAAATTGGAAGATTTGGAAACTGAATCCACATAGGAGCGATTGAAGATTCAAACCCCGATTTGGTGCTTCTTCATCCTTTCAAAATGGCTACAACATACTTTTTTTGTGATTTCTTTCCATCAAAGAATCATACAAGCGGCTGAATCCCCAGCGATACACTTTGGCTTGAAAAAGTTTTATCAATTCCAAGAGTCATTTTCATCCAAAATTGCTAAATCTTTCAAAGGATATTCAATACTGGGATGCCTGGATTGAGGGATCATACTTTGGTATACATTAGTCATTTTCTTCCGAATTTGCCAAATCTTACAAAGGGTATTCAATTCTGGGATGCCTGGACAGAGGGATCATACTTTAGTAAAGTCTTAGACAGGCAGTGCAGTCTGAAGGAGTTTTGTATGAAATTATGGTCTATTCTAATTTAAAATGTAAGGAAGTTATGTAGTAGATCCATCACAAACATTCTGTGGCTGTGCTTTTCATAGTATCTATCATGTTTAGTCCATCATTCTTTTACTGCATAAACAATTTTTTGTAGAACTATTTCTATTTCTTCCATGCATTTTTCTTGAAATTTCTTGTAGTTGGAGTGCTCTTGACTTGGAGAAACATGATAGATTTGGGGTTTTTAATTATGAAACATGAACAAGCCCATAATTTTATGTTTATGTCGACAGTGCTGGTTTTAATTTTCAAGTCATTCTACTTAAATGCCGAAGAATTGGATGGGAAGAGGACACTGTTCATACAAAGTCAGGACAACAGAGTACAATCAAGTGTCCTCAGTCCTCACCTAAATCTTAGCCTAGGAATGTACAGAACTTTTTCCCTTTGGAGCCCCATAGCACAGCTTGCACTCATATATTTCTCCTTCAAGGCTTTCTTGCATTCTGCTACGCAACGAGGAAGCGTGCAATGGATTCATTTCGATCTCAAATGCACACTACACACAATCCAGTGCCAGAATTAAGAACCCCACCAGGGTCACCACCATTGCTGCCAAAACCAGCGCTCACTTCTTCCCTGCCTTACCTTCCATTGTCGTATGTTTTCCTCTGCAGCCAAAACCAGTGTCTTGAAGAAACACTACAGCCTCTGCACATGTATGTTTAGGGAGAAAAATAGCATAAACAAGTGGCCATTACCTAGGCAAGACTATGATATATATATATATATATATACTAAGTATCCGAATTTTTAATGTTGGGCATACGCTGTTACATGGTTATTACACATACATCCACTAAGACACATCATGAGCTACTTTTCTCCATGATTTTGTGAATTTGAATCAATGAAAGATCAACATATGGTTGATGCTTGTTCGTGTTTTTGTTTTCCTCGTGTAGATATTGGATTTCGGGGTTCATTGATTGTTATAAATCCAACCGTTGATCTAAAAGTCCCATGACTTGTGAGGGTTAGAGCTAGAGCCGACGCTATGACGACTCACTCTATTGACACTGGATTAACAGTAGTCTTTTCTTTTTGATGGTTTTACTCACCTAGCAGTATTCAACGCGATAGTATTATACCAATACATAATACTAAAATATTTTAATACAGTGTATAAATTGTTCCTTCTGTGATTTGAACTCATGACGTAGTGCTTACCATGATATCCATTGTTATGAACCCAACCGTTGATATAAAAGTCCCAAAACTTTTGAGGGATTAGAGTTCATAATTATTTAAAGTTAACATTGATCGGTCAGTAAATTGACCATCCGACAAAGGGTTGGACTGCTGTATGCATCGGCTACTCTGGACAAATAGATTTCTAGTTACAAATAAAAGTTCATTATGTTCACGGAATTAAAAGACTAATGCGTCATGAAGGCTACTTGTAAACGTACAATTATTCTATGTAATTAAAGACGATTGGGTAAAATTTGAGGTGAAATTCAAATGTAGTTTGATAAAATCAACTCTAATTAAGTTAATTAGATTGGATTAGACATTTATATCAAATATCTAATTTTTGATGTATTCAAATATAATTTGTGGAAATAAAAAATAAAATATTGTCGTTCAAATTACTTGATGCTTCGTAATCCAACACTTAGACTTTGAATCCATGATATTGTTAGATGTAAGGGTGTTAAAATATGACACAATCTGTTTCGTGAATAAGTAAACTCAACGCGATACGATTAATTAAAAAATCGGGTATGAGTGAAGTTAATTGAAAAAAATATACAATATAACTTGTTTATATGTTGATTATACACAATTTATAACCTATACAAATTTGAAATGACACGAATTAATAAAAAAATTAAATATAAGTAAAATACTCTTTAATACGAATTTACTTCAGTGGACACAATTGCCGGATCTAGTTGGATGAAATTTATCACAGATCATCTTATTTCTCAGGTAACTTGAGTGTTTTTTGGGCTAAAAGATAGCCCAGAAATTGTAGAGCTAATACCAAATTTGTAAAGTGAAGGAAGCCCAATACTTCACCGCCTTGACGATGATTACTTTCCTCCCTGAGATACGTCGCTTTATAAACTTCGAAAATGTGAAAAAAATGGAGGGAATATCAGAAAAAAGCTGAGGGTGCGAAAATGGCGCCAAGACGCCTTAGAATGGTGTGTTCCTCCGACGCAGACGACGAACCACAGCACCACCAGCAACCACCGCAAGTCGAAGAATACGACGACGACGATGTGGAAATCGAAGTACAAGAACCTACACTAAACCTTGAAACAGTAACCCTAAACTCCTCAAACCCAAACCCTAACCCTAACCACAATTATAATCCCTCTGAAGCAGTCCAGCTTGAAATCTCCGATGACGACTTCGTCGACGTCCCCGAAAACTTCTCTCCTCCACCTACACCTGCGCCTCCGCCTGCACCTGCACCTGCACCTGCACCATCGATTTCCACTCAATATGTCCACTCATCCACAGCATCGACAATGAATAGTTCTACCGATTCCAACTTTGAAGCCTCTGATTGTCCGATCAGTGGATTTTTACGGGGGCTAGGTCTGAATTTGCGGAGGGAGTGGTTAGATTCTTGCATTCGCAACCTTGAGAGCTTGGTTCCGGGCTTTGTGAGGTTTGATAATGCCACAAAGGCGAAGCTCTGTTTTGAGCAGTTCTTGTATTCGGATATGAACTACACTGGTGCTGGGGTGCTTCCGGAAAATGTACACAACATGCATCTGGTTGATCTGCCGGGGCCATTTGTGTTGCAGGTGTGGGATGTTTGTAAATTTGTGATAGTTCAATTCTTATAGATTTGAGCTGCATTTTAGATAAATGGAAGCTTATTGTGTATTCCCGAAGTAAGATCCAGGGGATGACTGAAAAGAATCAGAGTAGCCAAACTATGGAGCCAGTTCATATGTCATCAACAATTTAAGTATAGTATTTTACTTAAAGATCAAAACTTGCCAATGTACTATTTTTTAGTTCAAAAATTTACAAACCCGACTAATCATTACTCACTCATTGTTACACTATATAAAAATGTAGTATTTTTGAAGTTAATTTGAGCTTTGTAGACATCTGAAGCTTCCATCATTGTCTGAAGCTAAAGGCTTCTCTCATTTCAAAGGGTTTGGCCAGCTTTCTTTAGTTGTAGAGTTCGGGATGTGTAGACAACTTCGGCTAAACTTCTGAAACTTAAGATTTAACAGGATGCATTGAACAACTCATGATCAAGTTATGTCTAGGCTTGAATATGAATCATGCGTACATATTTTTCTTTTCCTGTCTTTAGTAATACAACTTCAATCTTATTGGGTGAAATTTTTGTAGGTGGATGAGATAGTAAACATCAGTTGTCCTCTTCGAGGCAGGTATCACAATATGCCTTCTGGTATTAAGAGGTGCCTCAAGTTGTCTCTGACTGATGGTGTTCAGCGTGTATTTGGCATGGAATATAGGCCTATAAAAGATCTTGAAGTTCTGGCTCCTGCCGGGATGAAGGTTTCTTTCTCATCTCTTCTACCTAAATGTTATTACTTCTGAAAATGAATATTTGTTCACCACAAGGTTTAATTTAGGTTCACCTGTTGATGAAAAATTCTCAAAAATTCCTCACAAAATTGAAAATAAAAGTTTGACTTTAGGGATGATGTTATATTAATCTATCTGGTAAGGCTTTTCACATGGGTTAACAGCAAAATGGGTTGCAGGTCCCAAAACTTTAGTTTAAGTGGATGTATGTGAATTTTTTGACCATGGAAAAGTAACCAAAATTTTGGAATATTCTACAATCAAGTTGACTTTAGGTGTGATAAGATAACTTTGCCTGCAGCTCTTTCATTTTGTTTCAACCCTGAATCTCTTCTTATGTGACGNATTTTGGAATATTCTACAATCAAGTTGACTTTAGGTGTGATAAGATAACTTTGCCTGTAGCTCTTTCATTTTGTTTCAACCCTGAATCTCTTCTTATGTGACCTTAGCTCTTTTTTTGACAGAAGTGGGAAGATTCTTAATCTTTCTTTTGTTGCATTACGTAGGTTGCCATTTGCAATGTTAATGTAAGGCATGGGCTTCTAATGTTGGTCCCTGAAGTTACTGAAGTTTTAGGAGGCTTAGTTGAAGAGTTGGATGCAGCACGACAGAGGCTTGTTAATGAAGTAAATAAGCCACCTAGGGGAAAAAGGTACTTGTAAGAATCAACGAATTAATTATTAAGTTGGACCAACAAAATTTACTGCTTCTCATGTTGCATTGGCTCATTGAAGATGCTGTTGTGACAGTATTGATTGTCTTCTGCTCTTCATGGCTCTCTCTCATCTTTTTTTCTTTGTAAGTTACAATTCTCTTCCTATTATAATCACTGAAAAAAAGAGACCAATTTTATTCATTATATTGGAAAAGCGATTTTGGTAATGATTTTCATTGGACGCACACTTTTTATGTTAGTGACAAATCTGGCATCATTTACGAATTTAATTTGGAGTAAATTAGTCTTTTGATAAATGCATGGTTGTATACACCCAAGGATTGTAAGGATGTGTAGTTGTCTCTATGTTTGGAGCGAGGCTGATAAATTTTGTTAGTCATTGCTGACTTGTTACATAATTTGTTTTCTAATGGACATGGTACATGAACCTGAAGGCTTAATTATAATCCAACCGTTGATCACTTCTCGTTTATTAATTCATTAACCTCCTTCTGCTTACGCTAGAACCAGGACAGGGGTGGTTCCTTCTTTAGCAACTAGAGCTACTCTCGCTGCATGGCCGCCAGACAGTGCCAATCTTACAGCACACACCAACAGCCCCATGGCACAAGTTGCAACTCCTTTTCAGGCAGATAACCAGCGTATGTTTTTTCACATTTGGGCTCCTAAATCTCATCTGCAATGACATGAGCTTCGAAAATAAAAGTATTGAGATGAGTTTAGAAAGTTGTTTGTGTTGTGGCGATGCTGTGATGATGAGTGTATGACTTTTTAACGAATTGATGATAGTAATATAGCTGAGAACCACAGGTTCNAAAATAAAAGTATTGAGATGAGTTTAGAAAGTTGTTTGTGTTGTGGCGATGCTGTGACGATGAGTGTATGACTTTTTAACGAATTGATGATAGTAATATAGCTGAGAACCACAGGTTCTGTGAGGATGAATGCAAAATTCTTATGCCTATTAGTGATACTGATACACTGGGAAATGTTTGTTTGTTGACTTTCCAACCAAAAGATTACTATTTCTGGACTAGATCTGCTATGAACAGAAAAGCAATTTGGCTTATGAGTCTGATTTTACTTGGTGGATAATTGTTTTAAGTCAGTTTGGCTCCTAAGTAAAGTATTGTAAAACAAACTTGATACAACGATAAATTATGTATTTGCAACTTAAATATGTGTACATTTCAATTTATTTAAGTTATGTTTTCATATCTAAATTAAAATTCCCTATTCTCTTTCCAAATAATATCCAAGTGGTTCTCCAAAGCGTTTCCGCAGTTTTTAATATGCACATAGACTGCATGATGGTGAAATGACAGATAAAACCTCAGCGGCATTTTTAATGCCCTGTAATTTGGTCTACTGTTGGGTAAATAAGGTGAGTAAATGGTTAATTGTTGGAAAAGTTCTTGAATTTAACAGTAATTGTGAAACTTTGTATCTGAATGTCAAAATTTGTTCAGTTAGCATAATCGTCTGATTCTAAGACCATTATGAGACATGACAAACAGAATAATTGCAGACCGCATGCTGATGTGGTTTTCAATTATCATATGAGCAATGCTATTAGAACATAATTTGAAGATTGTGGCCCTTAGATTATTAGTGGCTCCCAGCATTAAATTTTCAGTGGGTCCCAACACTATTAATCCAACGGTCACAATGCATTAAGTCCCCAAATTATGTCTCAATAGCATTAGTGTTATCGTATATTCATTTTTAAAGTATTTTGTGCATTTAGCTTTAATTTTTATGAAAATTTTCTTTGTTTCTTGAAAGACATTTGTTGTGATATATGGAGTAAGATATGAGGCATGATTTCATTTTCCTATTGTGGGACATGATGTAAAATTTGTACCACATGATCACATTTACCTGTTTAGAATCTTATGTTAGGTTGTTTTCTTATTGGGAATTAAGTTTATACCACATTGGTGAAAGTGGAGTGAACTTACAGGCATATCATGTTCATCCTTGTTTCTCTTTTTTGGATCTTAATTTTGGTTTCCATCCATGGCCTATAGGTACTTCATCTGGTACTTCCACCAGTGCCAGAACTTCAGAAGAGGTTGCTGTTCCCATTAGGAGCGAAGAAGCTGCAACTTTAACATCATCTAATACAGTTTCGATTGCTGAGGATGTTCATATGGTAGACACGGTCGAACAAACGTTCATACTAAGTGGTAACAGAGAAATCCCTTTCACTTACTTAGCTAGTTTGTCAGCTAAGTGGGCTGCAATGAAGGACAAAGCTCCCAGTGTTCAGGGAAAAATCAAGGTGGAATATTTTTGTCTTTGATTAGATAGATAGAGCTCCTCTGTGCTGTGACTGCTGTCAAACCCTATCAAGGCTTTTCTTTCACTCTAGAAAATTCTTGTCCCAACATTTGGCAATTGGCTAGATGAATATTGTTATGCTATTCTAGTATCTGCAGACAAATCTTGGGAAGGCACGCCTCTGTCGCTCATTTAACATCCAATATCAACTTGAGCTCTGCAACTTCTAAAATATGCCCTTTTGAATTACAAAATAGTCCAGCAAACAAAAATGAACTTTATGTCAACCCAGAAGATGGTTCCGGATCCCTGCATTTAGTTTTTTTTGCATTCATAATTCTGCAATGTGGACAGCAAAATACTTTAGAGAGGTGAGATCTGATGAATCTCATGTAGAAGGAGCATCGTCATATAATACTGTATGTCTTTGACATTTAGTTATAATTTCCACAATTCTTTCCTTTGCTGTCTTGTCAGTGCATTATAATTTAGGCATTTAGATAGAAATTAAGACTTATGCTACCATGTCCTTCTACAGTAAGATAGAGTGTAGTTTGTTTTGGCGTGGCTTGCTTTGCTCTAGGTAAGATAGTTGTGCTGTCTTCAGATTTGTCAAAATGTGGTGTTACATTTTTCAATGGAAGTTTGNTTTAGAATCTTATGTGAGGTTGTTTTCTTATTGGGAATTAAGTTTATACCACATTGGTGAAAGTGGAGTGAACTTACAGGCATATCATGTTCATCCTTGTTTCTCTTTTTTGGATCTTAATTTTGGTTTCCATCCATGGCCTATAGGTACTTCATCTGGTACTTCCACCAGTGCCAGAACTTCAGAAGAGGTTGCTGTTCCCATTAGGAGCGAAGAAGCTGCAACTTTAACATCATCTAATACGGTTTTGATTGCTGAGGATGTTCATATGGTAGACACGGTCGAACAAACGTTCATACTAAGTGGTAACAGAGAAATCCCTTTCACTTACTTAGCTAGTTTGTCAGCTAAGTGGGCTGCAATGAAGGACAAAGCTCCCAGTGTTCAGGGAAAAATCAAGGTGGAATATTTTTGTCTTTGATTAGATAGATAGAGCTCCTCTGTGCTGTGACTGCTGTCAAACCCTATCAAGGCTTTTCTTTCACTCTAGAAAATTCTTGTCCCAACATTTGGCAATTGGCTAGATGAATATTGTTATGCTATTCTAGTATCTGCAGACAAATCTTGGGAAGGCACGCCTCTGTCGCTCATTTAACATCCAATATCAACTTGAGCTCTGCAACTTCTAAAATATGCCCTTTTGAATTACAAAATAGTCCAGCAAACAAAAATGAACTTTATGTCAACCCAGAAGATGGTTCCGGATCCCTGCATTTAGTTTTTTTTGCATTCATAATTCTGCAATGTGGACAGCAAAATACTTTAGAGAGGTGAGATCTGATGAATCTCATGTAGAAGGAGCATCGTCATATAATACTGTATGTCTTTGACATTTAGTTATAATTTCCACAATTCTTTCCTTTGCTGTCTTGTCAGTGCATTATAATTTAGGCATTTAGATAGAAATTAAGACTTATGCTACCATGTCCTTCTACAGTAAGATAGAGTGTAGTTTGTTTTGGCGTGGCTTGCTTTGCTCTAGGTAAGATAGTTGTGCTGTCTTCAGATTTGTCAAAATGTGGTGTTACATTTTTCAATGGAAGTTTGAGGTTGCATGAATGAAGATAAACACCACAATTTACGAACTTGCATTTGATGCTGCTTCCTTTTGTCCACATGTTCTTTTGAATTTTATATCCAATATCATTGAGATGTGTTCAGACCATATTCATCAAGTTTGGTAGTGGGAATCCGATTCTCTTTACAAAATTTATCCTCCAGTGCAACTAATTGAACACAAATATGTAGTGCTTTTTGACTGGCGTGAAGGGATTCCAATATAAGCAAAGGACTAAATTTGAGCTGCGGGTTTATATAGATGATGGTAGCCTCATTTCGGAGATGCTCATCGATCACCATGTAAGTTGGATTTGGGTTTATTAGTGGTATGCTAATTAAGTTTTTGTCAGAACCTAACTTCTCCGTTGATGGTATTTGTGTTCAGGTTGTACTGAAAGGAATAGGACATTCACCTGAGGAGGTCACTGCTGCTCTCGCTTCTTCAGACAAGAAGAAAGTTAGTGACATGAAAGAGACTTTGAAACAATTTCAAAGTTTCTTGGTGAATTTTGAGGTAATATGTTCAGCTTTTATAAGCTTTCAGCTAGCACTGGATCTTTGTACTCTACTCTAAAGACTGATGGGCAGTTTCAGATTAAGAGGACAGATCTTATAAATATTCCTACAATAATCAACAAGCTTTTGATTCTGTAATGCTGTTTCAGGGTACGATGCTTGTACAGCTGAATGAAGCCTCTTCTATTCCAATTGCCATTGATATGAACCAAGGTTGCCCTGCACCTGATGCCTGGTTGCTTCTGAGAAGACTAAAGTCCTCCAATTTTGCTCAACCACAGCAGCATCCCATCATGGATCCCATTGAATTATCCCCATGACTTGATCGACACACATGCTGCACCTTGTGCTTGGTGACAGTGAAATGAGAAACTGTGGTCTGATTCACAGNTGATTGCTGAGGATGTTCATATGGTAGACACGGTCGAACAAACGTTCATACTAAGTGGTAACAGAGAAATCCCTTTCACTTACTTAGCTAGTTTGTCAGCTAAGTGGGCTGCAATGAAGGACAAAGCTCCCAGTGTTCAGGGAAAAATCAAGGTGGAATATTTTTGTCTTTGATTAGATAGATAGAGCTCCTCTGTGCTGTGACTGCTGTCAAACCCTATCAAGGCTTTTCTTTCACTCTAGAAAATTCTTGTCCCAACATTTGGCAATTGGCTAGATGAATATTGTTATGCTATTCTAGTATCTGCAGACAAATCTTGGGAAGGCACGCCTCTGTCGCTCATTTAACATCCAATATCAACTTGAGCTCTGCAACTTCTAAAATATGCCCTTTTGAATTACAAAATAGTCCAGCAAACAAAAATGAACTTTATGTCAACCCAGAAGATGGTTCCGGATCCCTGCATTTAGTTTTTTTTGCATTCATAATTCTGCAATGTGGACAGCAAAATACTTTAGAGAGGTGAGATCTGATGAATCTCATGTAGAAGGAGCATCGTCATATAATACTGTATGTCTTTGACATTTAGTTATAATTTCCACAATTCTTTCCTTTGCTGTCTTGTCAGTGCATTATAATTTAGGCATTTAGATAGAAATTAAGACTTATGCTACCATGTCCTTCTACAGTAAGATAGAGTGTAGTTTGTTTTGGCGTGGCTTGCTTTGCTCTAGGTAAGATAGTTGTGCTGTCTTCAGATTTGTCAAAATGTGGTGTTACATTTTTCAATGGAAGTTTGAGGTTGCATGAATGAAGATAAACACCACAATTTACGAACTTGCATTTGATGCTGCTTCCTTTTGTCCACATGTTCTTTTGAATTTTATATCCAATATCATTGAGATGTGTTCAGACCATATTNTGAGGTTGCATGAATGAAGATAAACACCACAATTTACGAACTTGCATTTGATGCTGCCTCCTTTGTCCACATGTTCTTTTGAATTTTATATCCAATATCATTGAGATGTGTTCAGACCATATCCATCAAGTTTGGTAGTGGGAATCCGATTCTCTTTACAAAATTTATCCTCCAGTGCAACTAATTGAACACAAATATGTAGTGCTTTTTGACTGGCGTGAAGGGATTCCAATATAAGCAAAGGACTAAATTTGAGCTGCGGGTTTATATAGATGATGGTAGCCTCATTTCGGAGATGCTCATCGATCACCATGTAAGTTGGATTTGGGTTTATTAGTGGTATGCTAATTAAGTTTTTGTCAGAACCTAACTTGTCCGTTGATGGTATTTGTGTTCAGGTTGTACTGAAAGGAATAGGACATTCACCTGAGGAGGTCACTGCTGCTCTCGCTTCTTCAGACAAGAAGAAAGTTAGTGACATGAAAGAGACTTTGAAACAATTTCAAAGTTTCTTGGTGAATTTTGAGGTAATATATTCAGCTTTTATAAGCTTTCAGCTAGCACTGGATCTTTGTACTCTACTCTAAAGACTGATGGGCAGTTTCAGATTAAGAGGACAGATCTTATAAATATTCCTACAATAATCAACAAGCTTTTGATTCTGTAATGCTGTTTCAGGGTACGATGCTTGTACAGCTGAATGAAGCCTCTTCTGTTCCAATTGCCATTGATATGAACCAAGGTTGCCCTGCACCTGATGCCTGGTTGCTTCTGAGAAGACTAAAGTCCTCCAATTTTGCTCAACCACAGCAGCATCCCATCATGGATCCCATTGAATTATCCCCATGACTTGATCGACACACATGCTGCACCTTGTGCTTGGTGACAGTGAAATGAGAAACTGTGGTCTGATTCACAGTGTTCAATTGATTCAGGTGAACGCCACAAGCAAGGACGGAAAGTGCAAAGGAATTTGTACCATTGAGAATATCCTCGCATACAGGAATGTTAACTTTTGGCTCGCATTGGATTTGACTCCAGATGTGCTATGCTCGGTAGGAGGTGGTGAAGCTTTTCAGGAAGTCCGCACCGAGTGCAATTGCATCATCCTTCGAAAGGAAACTTGGGTTTATTGTCCGGCTCCTTTGGTTAAATTGCTTACAAGTTACAAACCTTATGTGAAGGGGAGAAATTAGTTATTTGCTGCCGCTGGCATACGTGAGGGAGTCTCTTTGAAAAGTAATTTTGTACCATCTGCTGCTAGAGCTTGAAGAATTCCTAAAAGTTCGGTGCATTCAGGTCCAATATGTTGTTGCGCTGATTCAGGTGAACACAAAGACAAGCTACAAGACCTGCACCGATAAAATGGCAAAACCTCAGATCACACCAGATTGTACAAAAAAGGACTGCAGTTGGTTAATTAGGAGGTGGTGTTTTGTTCATCCATCAGATATTTGTATGATTTATTTGAACTTGTAACCCTACACAGGATTTTAAAACATTGTACCTAATCAAAGGATGGGTACTATGCACAAGTTTATGGAAGTCAATTTTCATTTAACCCTCATCACAATGCCACATTGTAACATACCATGGAATTAATTCACAAAAGTTCATGAACATTGCACTTCCGTTCATGTTAAATCCAGTAAAAACTTCAAAATAGCCTTGCAAAACGATTTTTTAAGGTCAAGAACTGTTATGAAATCTGATGAAAAAGCCGGGGGCCAAATGGGTGGAGCTATTTTATGATGTTTGGACAAAACAACATAAAAAAGCTGGATCCAAACACGCGACATCAGCGAGATTAGGAGAAGGCTTACACACACTTCCCTCCACACCAAACCCCCTCCACCCTTGGACCCAAAAAAACAAAAGAAAAAATTCTGGTAAGGTACGCTTGCACAAAAGTAAATTGTATACAAACATTATTGAGATTTATTTATGCACACCACGTAATGTTCTTAATATCAGAGGGGTCTAAACACAACACTAAGGCCATTCCATTACAGTACACATGCCAGTTTGATATTAATCTGTTTTCTGCTCAGGTGTTTGGATGTTCCCTGGGTAAAGTACTTTCTGGGACCCGGTGAGATCCAAGATCTGTTTGCTTAGTGTTTCCTCTAGTGAAACCCCTGGCCTAGGATTATACAGCAGTCGGAAAAACAAGTCCATCACCTCAGGGCAGAACTCCTTCCACAGAAACGTGACGCTAAGCCATGCTGGATGCGTCACATATCTGTCTCCCCTGCATGCACTATTCACAATCGCTTTGGCGCATGCTTCTGCTGCAGCGACGGGCATTATGCTCACTTGAACGAAAAATACTTTCAATTGACGTCAGACATATACTTTTTGTTGATCACAGACACAAATAACGGTAGATCAATGATAGTTATTAGTTAATTAGGGTGGTGGCGAGATCCGAACACAGGATCTCCTGCTTTGATACCATGTTAAACAATCATCTACTTCAAAAATTTAAGTTGTTAAAAAAGGTATAACTTTAAGAATTTATACTAACAGTATTAACATACACAATTATGGAAAGCATTGTTGATATTATATGAGACCATTAGTTATGATTTGTGCCTGAAGGTACAAAGTAAAAAAAAATGATGAACAATAAACATATTTGTATTCATATCCAAAATCAAATCAAAAACATAAAAAAAAGATAAATGAATTTAAGCATCGGTTTGTAGTGGGGGTGAGAGGTGGAAAGAGGCAGTGGTGATGATAGGAGACGGTGATGGTTGTGGTGGGTGACAATGACTGTGGTTTTAAACACTATTTTTTTTTATAAATATTTATGAAAAATAATTTTTAAAAATATTTTTAAAAAGTTACTCTAAATACACTTTTAGGAGCCTATTTTTCCTATTAAATTTAGGATGTTAATATTAACTGTTAGATTAACTTTAAAATAAAAATTAAAGTGATCTCAACCACGAATAACAAAAGTCATTTTGTTTATCTTTTGAAATTTGAACTGTAAGTTATTTTATTATATATACTAATTATTGCATGTGCTTGAAGGCATAGAGGAACAAACAATGATAAACAATAAACATATTTATATTTATATCAAAAATCAAATCACAAATATAGAGAAGAGATAAATGAATTTAAGCATCGATTGCAGTGGGGGTGAGAGGTGGTTGACGATAGTGGTGGTGATAGGAGACGGTGATGGTTGTGGTGGGTGATATTGACTGTGGTGGCGGTAATTGGGGCGACGGTGACAATGGCGGTGGCAGCAGCGACGGCGACAACATCGACGGTGACAACATCGACGGTGGCGGCGATGGTGGTGGTGATAATGGTAGAACGGTTTTAAACACTAATTTTTTTAAAGTATTTATGAGAAATAATTTCTAAAAGTGCTTTTAAAAAGTCACTCCAAACACACCCTTATGACCCTATTTTTCTTATTAAATTTAGGGTGTTAATATTAGTCATTAAATTAACTTTAAAGTAAAATTTAAAGTGATCTAAACTGCTAAAAACAAAAGTCATTTTATTTATTTTTGAAATTTAAATTGTAACCTACTTTATTATATAGACTAGTAATTGTCTGTGCCTGAAGGCATATAGTAATAAAAAATAGTAAATAATTAACATATTTGTATTCATATTCAAAATCAAGTTACAAACATAGATGAAAAATAAATGAATTTAAACATCAGTTGTAGTGGGGTGAGAGGTGGTGGGCGACAGTGGTGATGGTAAGAGACGGTGATGGTTGTGGTGGGTGACAATGACCGTGGTGGTTGCGGTGATGGTGGTGGAGGTGGTGGCGGTGGCGGTGGTGGTAGAGGTAGTGGTGAGACAGTTTGAAACACGATTGTTTTAAAAATATTTAGGAGAAATAATTTTTAGAAGTATTTTTAAAAAATTATTTCAAACACACCCTTAGGCTTCTATTTTTTCTATTAAATTTAGAGTGTTAATATTAGTCATTAGATTAACTTTAAAGTAAAATTTAAAGTGATCTAAACTGCAAAAAATAAAAGTCATTTTATTTATTTTTGAAATTTAAATTGTAACCTACTTTATTATATAGACTAGTAATTGTCTGTGCCTGAAGGCATATAGTAATAAAAAATAGTAAATAATTAACATATTTGTATTCATATTCAAAATCAAGTTACAAACATAGATGAAAAATAAATGAATTTAAACATCAGTTGTAGTGGGGTGAGAGGTGGTGGGCGACAGTGGTGATGGTAAGAGACGGTGATGGTTGTGGTGGGTGACAATGACCGTGGTGGTTGCGGTGATGGTGGTGGAGGTGGTGGCGGTGGCGGTGGTGGTAGAGGTAGTGGTGAGACAGTTTGAAACACGATTGTTTTAAAAATATTTAGGAGAAATAATTTTTAGAAGTATTTTTAAAAAATTATTTCAAACACACCCTTAGGCTTCTATTTTTTCTATTAAATTTAGAGTGTTAATATTAGCCGTTAGATTAACTTTAAAGTAAAATTTAAAACGATTTGAACCCCAAAAAGCACAAGTTATTTTGTTTATTTTTTGAAATTTGAATTGTAAGCTATTCTATTATCAATTATGCTAGACTGACTAAATTTTGGGACCAAATATCCATCCCAAATGACATGACAGTTGATTTGAATTTTTTATTTGGTGCCATATCATTTAGACCCCAATAAAAAATTTAAATAATATACTACTATGTCATTTGGGATGAATATTTAATCTCAAAATTGATAAATGTAACATTACTCTTCTATTATATATATTATGGACACAAGAATGCAGCAGAGTCATGTACTTGGTATACTTTAGGAGAAGCAACAAATCGAAGGAGAAAAACTTACATCCCTCATTTCTTGATCAACCACCACTTTGCCTCCCTCTGTTAAGAATTTTCCTTGGGTTAACTCGGACTCTATAAACCCAGGAGTCACTAGTGTTATCTTGACGTCCGGTGCAAATTCAACCCTCAGAGTCTCAAAAAATTGTGCCATTGCTGCTTTGCTTGCCTATAAGTAACCATTAAATTGGTAGAACCAGGTTTAAGATATTAGAGGAAACACAAAGAGCACATATATGCTAATCACATGACTCACATTGTACAAGCTCATCCTTGGCTTAGGCAACCATGAAGCAGATGAAGAAAGGGCAATGATCTTACCCTTGCTGTTTCTTAGGTGTGGTGCGGCAAACTGGGTAGTATAAACGGAACCCCAAAAGTTAATATCCTGAGAAGCCATTGCATGTTAGCTTGAGTATCATCTTTGTAGAAGTTATCATTCGGAAAAATAAATCTGTAAACGTCAGAGAATTCTTAAGACTATCAAGAAATGAAAAATAAATACGATCTTACACTTTTCCCTAGAATTCAAGTTAAACCGACCCTTTAATTATTGGTGTTTGCAGATCTTGTTCTTATATTCTTTGTGCCAATAGCTACTCAATCATGTTCTACCAAGTTTCTGTGTTGGATTCGCAGAGGACACATCCAAAATAGCCATTCCTAATAGAAACAATGTATGCAAACTAATAAGGGAAGCAGACTCATCATTGGTTTGTGACTCGTGAGCAGTAAAGCTTAAGATATTTAGCAATAATAGATCCAATCATAATCTTAATACAACAGAGTTTTGGTTAGGACAGTACCATTACGGGTCTGAGATCAGTAATATCATCGACTTCTTCCAACATACAGACTTGATTGACACCAGCATTATTTACCAGATGATCCACTGTGAAAACTATACACCCACATGAATCCATTATACATTTTTACAGATTAGACTAAGACAATTTTCCTCGATTTCTTCCCATTTATGAGCTTGATAGAAAAATAGTAAGACACGAAATCAAAGGAAAAATAATATTCCACCCAATTGGAACTTACGACAGCCATAGCGATTCATGGTTTCATCAACATTGGAAACATCAGTACGAATTGCTATAACGTCAGCAGCCCCCAACTCTCGTGCACACTCAGACGCTGCTCTCTCCTCGCTACAAGAGCTAAGCATGCCCCTCTCCTTGCGTACTCATAAGCAAGATACTGAAAAATACAACAGAGAATATTTTAAACCTTCACAATAAATACTTAATGAGATTTTTTTTTTAATCAAACACTAACCACTTATTCTAACAAAGTAAGGGCCAGTGAAAACTTTATATATAACTCAGACACCCAAACGCCATCCGATATGGGATAGCCCCAACCCCCACCACCTAGGCACTATTACCATGGACCCAGAGACACCTATCTCCAAGAAGAGGAAAGCCGAGTCCGCCGAACGCCCATTTTTCATTTTTTTTATCAAATCAAATGGTTTGTTTGATACGTTGTTTTGTTACAATGATNAATTTAGGGTGTTAATATTAGTCATTAAATTAACTTTAAAGTAAAATTTAAAGTGATCTAAACTGCTAAAAACAAAAGTCATTTTATTTATTTTTGAAATTTAAATTGTAACCTACTTTATTATATAGACTAGTAATTGCCTGTGCCTGAAGGCATATAGTAATAAAAAATAAAAAATAATTAACATATTTGTATTCATATTCAAAATCAAGTTACAAACATAGATGAGAAATAAATGAATTTAAACATCAGTTATAGTGGGGTGAGAGGTGGTGGGTGACAGTGGTGATGGTAAGAGACAGTGATGATTGTGGTAGGTGACAATGACCGTGGTGGTTGCGGTGATGGTGGTGGAGGTGGTGGCAGTGGCGGTAGAGGTAGTGGTGGGGCAGTTTGAAACACGATTTTTTTAAAAATATTTAGGAGAAATAATTTTTAGAAGTATTTTTAAAAAATTATTCNTTCAAACTGAAATATGCATCTTTATTTTTTTTCTCCTCTTTTATCCATGTCAAAGATAAAAATAAATGAAACCCTTATACTTTAGAGGGTAGAAAGTGTACTACTTTCTTCCCTATCCTTTTTTTTTTGTTTGTTTGTCATTTATCGTACCAAACGAACTGTATTGTTATTTTTTAAATTTTTAAAAATTTCATGAGTTTGGTTAGTATAAAATAGAAAATGATGAAAANTTAACTTTAAAGTAAAATTTAAAACGATTTGAACCCCAAAAAGCACAAGTTATTTTGTTTATTTTTTGAAATTTGAATTGTAAGCTATTCTATTATCAATTATGTTAGACTGACTAAATTTTGGGACCAAATATCCATCCCAAATGACATGACAGTTGATTTGAGTTTTTTATTTGGTGCCATATCATTTAGACCCCAATAAAAAATTCAAATAATATACTACTATGTCATTTGGGATAAATATTTAATCTCAAAATTTGATAAGTGTAACATTACTCTTCTATTATATATATATTATGGACACAAGAATGCAGCAGAGTCATGTACTTGGTATACTTTAGGAGAAGCAACAAATCGAAGGAGAAAAACTTACATCCCTCATTTCTTGATCAACCACCACTTTGCCTCCCTCTGTTAAGAATTTTCCTTGGGTTAACTCGGACTCTATAAACCCAGGAGTCACTAGTGTTATCTTGACGTCCGGTGCAAATTCAACCCTCAGAGTCTCAAAAAGTTGTGCCATTGCTGCTTTGCTTGCCTATAAGTAACCATTAAATTGGTAGAACCAGGTTTAAGATATTAGAGGAAACACAAAGAGCACATATATGCTAATCACATGACTCACATTGTACAAGCTCATCCTTGGCTTAGGCAACCATGAAGCAGATGAAGAAAGGGCAATGATCTTACCCTTGCTGTTTCTTAGGTGTGGTGCGGCAAACTGGGTAGTATAAACGGAACCCCAAAAGTTAATATCCTGAGAAGCCATTGCATGTTAGCTTGAGTATCATCTTTGTAGAAGTTATCATTCGGAAAAATAAATCTGTAAACGTCAGAGAATTCTTAAGACTATCAAGAAATGAAAAATAAATACGATCTTACACTTTTCCCTAGAATTCAAGTTAAACCGACCCTTTAATTATTGGTGTTTGCAGATCTTGTTCTTATATTCTTTGTGCCAATAGCTACTCAATCATGTTCTACCAAGTTTCCGTGTTGGATTCGCAGAGGACACATCCAAAATAGCCATTCCTAATAGAAACAATGTATGCAAACTAATAAGGGAAGCAGACTCATCATTGGTTTGTGACTCGTGAGCAGTAAAGCTTAAGATATTTAGCAATAATAGATCCAATCATAATCTTAATACAACAGAGTTTTGGTTAGGACAGTACCATTACGGGTCTGAGATCAGTAATATCATCGACTTCTTCCAACATACAGACTTGATTGACACCAGCATTATTTACCAGATGATCCACTGTGAAAACTATACACCCACATGAATCCATTATACATTTTTACAGATTAGACTAAGACAATTTTCCTCGATTTCTTCCCATTTATGAGCTTGATAGAAAAATAGTAAGACACGAAATCAAAGGAAAAATAATATTCCACCCAATTGGAACTTACGACAGCCATAGCGATTCATGGTTTCATCAACATTGGAAACATCAGTACGAATTGCTATAACGTCAGCAGCCCCCAACTCTCGTGCACACTCAGACGCTGCTCTCTCCTCGCTACAAGAGCTAAGCATGCCCCTCTCCTTGCGTACTCATAAGCAAGATACTGAAAAATACAACAGAGAATATTTTAAACCTTCACAATAAATACTTAATGAGATTTTTTTTTTAATCAAACACTAACCACTTATTCTAACAAAGTAAGGGCCAGTGAAAACTTTATATATAACTCAGACACCCAAACGCCATCCGATATGGGATAGCCCCAACCCCCACCACCTAGGCACTATTACCATGGACCCAGAGACACCTATCTCCAAGAAGAGGAAAGCCGAGTCCGCCGAACGCCCATTTTTCATTTTTTTTATCAAATCAAATGGTTTGTTTGATACGTTGTTTTGTTACAATGAAAAATTAGGAGGATATAAAAGTAAAAGGGTGAAAATGTGAGATGAATAAAAAATTATGATTGGTTATCAGGAAAAAAAATGAAAGTATTAGTTTTTTTTAATTCACTGAAATATATCCCTCCAAAATATTTAGAAGAAAGCATGATCATGTGGGTTGAGATGTGAGTTTTTTTTTTTTTTTATCTTTATACCCGTAGAAGATACATATATATACAATTGATTTAATGTTAATTTATAAGTAAATTCAAACTGAAATATGCATCTTTATTTTTTTTCTCCTCTTTTATCCATGTCAAAGATAAAAATAAATGAAACCCTTATACTTTAGAGGGTAGAAAGTGTACTACTTTCTTCCCTATCCTTTTTTTTTTGTTTGTTTGTCATTTATCGTACCAAACGAACTGTATTGTTATTTTTTAAATTTTTAAAAATTTCATGAGTTTGGTTAGTATAAAATAGAAAATGATGAAAAAAATAATTATTTTTTATGTTTAGATTGTCTCACAACTAACCAACTTTTTTTTTTTTGGTAAAAATATAAGAAATTACAAAAAAGTTGTGATCTATAACTAATTTTTCATTTTAATTTTACCCTTATTTTTTTTAATAAAAAAATTAGTATGAATTTGGTTAAACTAATAATTTGTGGCCCCGCGCCAATACTTGTTTCAAAATTAGGTTAAGGAGCCACTTTTTAAAATTTTCTTAATTTTTAATTATAATACATATTTTTTTAGACCGAAATTTTTTTAAAACTTTCTTATAAATTTTGTATGCTAACCAAATATATGCATGATAATATATTTTTTTCTCTTCACTTTCTATTATTTTTACTCTTCATTATTTTTTTTCTTTCTAACCAAACAAACCTCGAGTAAAAACTTTTACTCTGGAAAAATAAGATATACGCTCAATACCTCCTTTGACACTAAACTCAATTGTCTTCGAATCTAAAATATGTATGATCAAGGTTTACGTTAAGATAGCAGGTTTATACCTCGCCTTCCCCTCCCTATAAAGTCTGTGACTTAGGAAAAAAAAATGCATTCTCTAATAGTTGGAGATATTAAAAATTAACACCTGCTTGTTCTAATGCATTATACAATATTAATCCAGGCAAAACACCAAAATTGCCTCAGTTATTAAAGCTATGTTATTGTAGGACAATAGAATATACGAAATTTTGAAGATGCGATACCTCGCCAATGCCGGAGGAAGCACCGGTGATAAGGACGACCTTGCCTGAGACGTCTTCGGAGAATATGGAGTTGACAAATGAGAGGAAGAGCTTGAGACACTGCAATGGGGGCACAAAGAGCAAGAGGGAGAAGAAGGTCGCCGGAGGTGCTACTAAGTTGAGGAATTGGTGGATCAAATCCATGGCCTCTTTTCGAGATCGAGAGTTAAAAAATGTTTGTTTTGTTTGTTGAAGAACAAAGATGATGGATATGCATGCAAGAGAAAATGCCAATGTCGCAAGGTGCAGTGTGGCGTTTGGGTGGCAGCATTGCATGAAACAAGTTCGACACGTAGTCCGGTCCGAAGCGGTGACATATGCCAAGGTACCCAATATATATATATATATATATATGGGGGATAGTATACTGAAATTAATAAAAAAAATTTAATTGATTGATTTCTAGTTATGGGTTGAAAAAAATAAAATAAAAAAAATTATCTGTGTCAAAATTCATTTAAAAAATTTTATTAAATGAATTTTCATCACGTGGTAGAATTCTATATGTGCATGAGAAATTATAACAATATTAATTTAATAGATATTTAAGTTGATTTTTTAAAAATGTTTTGAGATGAATTTAATAAGATTCATTGGGAATGCATAAATTTCTGTACACCATTTTCTAAAAAATAAGTTATTAGAATCATTGTTTAATTGGTATTCAGGGCTTTTATGCTTGAGTTCGCTTTATTATTATTATTATTTTGGTCAGAGAGTTTGCATTATTAAATCACTTGATTTTATATCTTCTTTACATATTTATAGGGATTTTATGTGAGAAATATGTTAAGAACTTGATATAAATTGTGGGGCGAAATACACTTTATACTTTAAAGATTTAAGAATTTTTATTTTATACTCTTAAAAAATAATTTTTTAATATAACATCCTTAATTCATTAAAAGTGTTATAACGTGACCATTGTGTTTCATTTGCTTATTTGGTCAATGGGGTGGTTTTTGACGGAATGGATAATAGAAACAAATAGATGATTTTTGACGGAATAGATAATAGAAACTAACAGATATTACATTGCAATAGTTTTTATAAATTAAGGGTGCAATATGAGAAATTTACCCTCTATTTGGTAAGGATTTCTCAAAATACTTTTTTAAAACCAAAAAAAATTGATATAATTTTGCTTTTTAGCTTTCAAAAAGCAAAAGCATGTTTAATAAATATCTTAAAAAAATATTTTTAAAAACTCATGTGCACGCGCACACAAACATTAATACATCAAAAATAAACACACTAGCACAATATACCCTACACATGCTAATACACTAAAATAAATACATATACTAATATATCAAAACACACACTAATACAATAAAATAACCCCCAAATATACACACACCCCCCTCAAACACTAATACACTAAAAAACACACACCTACGTACACTAATACATCAAAAGCGCATATACATAAACTGACACACCAAAATGCATACACACAAACATAAACTAATACTCTAAAACACAACGAAATACACACATTTATACTATGGATTAGTATAAGTGTGTGTATGTGTTGGTGGATTAGTGCGTGTGCGTGTGTGTGTGTGTTTTTGTTGTTGTTGTTGTGTATTAGCGTGTAGGGGGTTTCGGTGTATTAGTGAATGTGTGTGTACTTGTGTTTTGTTGTATTAGTTAGTGTGTGTGTGTGTGTGTATTAGTGGATTAGTGTGCATGTGTGTGTGTATTTTTGGTGTATTAATATGTGTTTGTGTGTTTGTTTTAGTGTATTAATGATTGATGTGTACTATTTTAGAGTATTAATGTGTGTGTGAGTTTTGTTGTATTAATATTTGTATCTATTTTTGTGTATTAATAGACGATGGTGGCCTACTATTCAATGGAATTTTGGAGAATCGGTAGACCTCTTCCATATTTGTCGGAAAATAGGCTCGTACTTATTTTCTTCTTCTCTTGAAAGATCTATCTTAATTGATTGATTTGGTTCCTCATTCATTCAAATCAAAGGAGCTAGGCTTCATCAGGAAGAGATAGGAATGCTACATTGGTTTGTCTGGCGGTTGGTTACCAACAAACTTCAGACCTCAAACGTCTAGCCAAACAGTTGAGTCGCAGTGAACAAGAAATGGAAGAAATCTGAACTTCGAAGTGCCATAATTTAGGCATTAAATTTGGTCGGGGAAGAAATATCAAATTTTTTTTCAATGTTAACTTCACATGCTAATCACAACATGAGTCCTAAAACAAAGTACTAAATCATATCCCCTCAAAGGTTGAATCGGGATTGCAATACTTCTCACTGTATACAGAAATTTGGGTGGTACCAGGACTTCTATGCTATTTTTCTTTCTTTTTTTGTATATTTCTCGCTGTATTTGGGTTCTTGCCCGCGCTTTGTATTAAGGACAATCAAATTATATATACAGTCCACTGCATCAAAATAAAGTTTATTTAGCATTATACTAGGCAAAACCATGGACATATGCTTGCACATATGACTACTCAGCACATCTAATTCTTCAAAAGGCCCATTTAGAAGAGAAAAAGTAAAATTGGTTAGTCTCTGTTTCTTTTCTGCTTCTTCTAATTTTGTCTTTTTTTTTCCTTTCATTTCGTCATTTTTGGTTTTGAAAAAACCATACAGCAACAACATGAAGGTTTTAACAAGTTATTATTAGCTTAACACTTATTCAAAATCTACGACTCTCTGATTTTCCACTCTACTTTGCTTTTTTTTTTGGAAGGCCACTTTGTTTTTCTCTTATTTCTCCTTATTCCCATTTAATTTAGGTAATTTTATTTTTGCCTAGCCACTCACTTTTCCAAACTGTTGTACAGCTTCAAGCCTTCTTTGTTTGTTGATCCTTGCAATGAAATCATCAACCCTCTTGTTTAGCTCTTCAGCAGGCAAACTCAGCTCCTCTCCGTCTAAATCCTCATGAGTACCTTGGACATTCTCAAGTGACTCAACCAATTTCCTCTCTTCCTTCTTGTCAAGAGGAGAGTGATTTCGAAGGGTTCGAGTCCTATTAACGTACTCATCATAACAAACATCACAACCCGAAGACGAATCTGGGTTGAAGATATTGGACTGTTGGACGAGGAATATAACAATGAGGTTGCCTAATATGAAGAGAAATTTGGATCCCAAGAAAAGTGATGTCATTTTTGGTAGAGAGATGGTGAGGAAGACGTTCATAGTGGCACGTAGAGGGGGATGCCAGAAGGGACTAGAACAAAACAACATGCATGTGAATGCTGTTAAAGAATAAACGATAAGGTTACATAGAATTTGTTGCTTCTTGTACTTTTTCATGGCTTGAATCTTCTTCATCCTGAGAGGATCCATTGTGAACAAACAATGATTTCCCAAGAGGGGTTTATTATAAATTAGGGTTTTAAGGTGGGTTTCAAGGGGGTCTAGAAAACCCGAGGGAGGATTTTCATCAGACTGAACATAGAGCAATGCAAACACTGGACTATATAGTAGAGAAAAAGCTATTTCTATCCTTGTTTGGGTTTAATTTCCAAAGAAAAAGGTAGATATTTCGGTAGGTCTAATCACAGGTTATTTTTTTCAAAGTGATTACTTTTTGTAAAGTGATAAAGTATGGTAGGTTTGATTAATATTTATTTGGGTGCTATTGTTTTTGAGCTGCCTTCTTGTGTTGATGGTTTTGAATATTTTTCTCTTTAAGGCCATGCATTGGGGTACCAATTTTTTCAAAATTCTACCTATTGGAAATGAGGTTAAACAATATTCCTTCACAATTACTTTACAACCTTACAATCTTGGCATTGAAAGAGTTATAACCAACAGAAATTAATAGACAACTAGAAGTGGAAGATAGGTGAAACCGGCCGTTTAAATGTTATCACAATAATTTTGTTGAACCATTTCAATTGACACATCATTGTTACAGAACAGTATTTTACGTTTAGTTTTAGTATATATGTAGCATTATTTTCACACTTTTGGGGATAAAATTAAGAAGAATGCTCATTGGTTCAATAGATGGCCGTCAATGGCACCAACCCATTAAGAAAACAAGGAAATGGTTTATATCAGTACCCACTTGCAACTTCTCTAGTGACTCAACTAGCTTTGTAAGATGACAAAAGTTCCGTAAAAGAGTTGTTTTGTGCTGCTTTTAGCCGGTGCATGAGGTAATTAAGCACTATTGATGGATCCAGAGGAAATCTCATTAAGTTTTACTCCTTAATTTTTTTTAGGTCCCATACTACCATGCGCGCGCGCACACACACACGTGTGTTTGTGTGAGAGAGAGAGAGATGCCCATATTAATTTTTTTTCTTTTTGTGTAAAGATGATAAAGAATAATAATACTATACTAACCAAAATTAGGAACCAAAAAGAGTGATTAGGACATCAACCGCCATGTCATTTAGTCATTTTTTTTAATCCCTAATTTTAATCAGAATAGCATTATTGGACCAAAAAGAGTGACCAAATGACATGACGACTAATGTGGAAGACTAATCAACCTTTCACGTCAGCCGCCATGTCATTTGATTACTCTTTTTAATTTTTAATTTTGACCGGTGTATCATTATTGGATAAAGAATGGATGTATGATCTTTTGTCGAAGAAAGATTTCTAGATTCCCATCCATAACACCCATACACGAATGACAAATGCATCCATGATCGAATTAACCATGCATATAAATCCTAGCTAGCTCGGCAAATTGTATCAAAAGAAGAGGAAAAGTACTTAAACAAAGCAAACAGTGACCCAATTTTCTAAATAAAGAAGAGCAGTTTGCACATTCTTTTGAACCAATTGTTCGTAAAACACTCAAGCAAACAAAGGTTTAAAGAATCAAAGGAGCTGCTCAAATGATAACAAAGACGAACTATAAATTTAAACGTTTTGAGTTCGAATTTTAATAATCTTTTGAGGCCGTGGATGAATTATTTTTGATCAGACCGGAGAGAAAATTAATCGATGTGCGCATAAACTGATCCGAATACCCTAACCGTCGAAACAAAAAAAGAAAAAAAAAGAAGGTTGAAAGCTGAAAATGGCTAAATAATTAATTGAAGTGTTAGCACACATATGAGACGCACCACGTTTTGGGCCTTTCCTGATATTTCACAGAAGGGGGGTGCAAAAAGATAATAAAAGTAGGGAAAATTTTAGTCATATCCCTTCTAATTTATTATATTTTTAAAGACTCTTTTTTTATTATATTTTAAAGACACTCTTTTTATTATAAAAACATCATTGACACCTCTTCTAATTTATATTTAAATATCACTGACATCTTTTACCATTAAACCACAAGTTATAACAAAAATAAATTATCTAAAATACTAAAATTACCCTTGCATAAATTTCAAACATCTTTTTACATAAAATTCGATTAAAATTTCAGCCGATTAAAATTCATTTTTTTACCTATTAAAATTCTAGTTGACTAAAATTATATTTTCTATATATTAAAATTTAAGTCGATTAAAATTCGATTTGAACTGATTAAATTTTATTTTTTTATTATTAAAATTTGGGCATATTAAAATTCTTTTACGGATTAAAATTTGAATTAATTTGAGTTCTACTGGAGTTGTTAGCCCTAATTAAAATTAGTTTCGAATCGATTAAAATTTATTTATTTTATTTATTAAAATTCTGTTCAAGTTGATTAAAATTTATTTTTTAAATATTAAAATTTGAGTCAATTAAAATTTGTATTTTTTATGTAACAAAAATCAATCGATTCAAATTTAATTCAAGTTGATAAAAATTTGATTTATGCCCCGAAGAGAATTTTAATCTTCTCAAATTTTACGTAAAAAAATATAATTTTTAATCGACTCAAATTTTAATATATAAAAAGTAAATTTTAATTAACTCTAATCAAATTTTAATCGGCCAGAATTTTAATATGTAAAAAAATTTAAAAAATAAAGAGAGTCTCATTGAAGATATGTCTATTTAGAGGGGGTGTGAATGAAATTTTTTTTAAAATATATTATGAAAAATTTAATAAAATTGTATTCTAATTAACACTTTTAATTTGACAGGAGCATCATTGAAATTTTAAAAAATAGAGGGAGTGCCTTTGAATATATGGTAAACTAGTAGGAGTAGAGCTGAAATTTTTCCATAAAAGTAATATATATATATATTCTAAGAAGCTCTAGGGTTTTAGCAACTTTAGCTTTTAGAAACATTGCATCTAGTGTACTTTCACGAGCATGCTCTCTGACTGAGAATTAACAAAACATTCAGCACCGTCGTATATATCGTAGCCGTGCAAAGCATCTGTACCTGCACATACGCCACTGTACAGCTAACAAATTGTATAAAACTATGGGCAAAGTGCAGTGAGAGAAAAGCTAGTACAGGCTGAAAGCCATTGTTGCTGATATAAAGCTATTGGATTCCGTAACCATATACATATATATATATCTTTGCCTGAGAGATAGTTTTACTTTAAAGCCTTTTTTCGACAATCCTACCATGTTTGTGGCTTTGGAAAGGGGGGGGGGGGGGGGGGTGATAAACCGCAGTGCTTTTGACCAATTTTCGTTAAATTTTAAATGGAAAATGATAGAATAGAATGAAATAAATTAGAAAATCTTTTGCATTCAACCTTCAAATTCTAGCTATTTTCAAGTTAATCCTTGTGTAGGTCAATCATATTCTAGAAAACGAGGCATGAAAAAAAAAGTAATAATTCAGTCCAATAAACACCAAAAAAATATAATTCAAATATATCTCCACCACACACAAATTCTAGAAGTCTTGTTGAAAGAGATCAGCGGGATCAGCCGGGTAAGAAGCCTCGTTTCTTTCAACTAATTCAAGCAATTCAGTAAATAGTATTGTCCAATGACCTTAAACTTAGAAATTTAGCCTCGAAGATTATTGTGTATTATTACTGCTATTACATGAGCCTTGTAGGGCCTCAAGCTTAGGCATGGCTACGGGTGGGCTAGTCCGGGGATATGCCATTCTGGGTCCAACTACATAGCCCGTGGGTTGGGCACAACAGGTCCCGTGTCTAGTCCCAATGGGAAGCCCATCACGGGCCCAGATATCTGTGGCCTGTCCGATGCTACAATGACAATTTTATAGTAATTGGTAGATAAAAAACTATGGGTTTTTTAGGTGTAGGTATAATTTTTAATACTTATTTGAACAAAAGTGTATGGATAAATGATTTATTCTATTAAGTACAATTTTTATAATACTTTTTATGTTTAGGTACAAAATCCAAATGAATTAAAATCCTTTTTACTTAAACACCCTTTTTTTATTTTATGCAGTCATGATTGACAGTTATTTTAAGAAACGAATAAATAAAGATTACATATTTGTTATCTTTTTATTTTTGAATTTTGAATGAGCAGTTTTGTGAGAGATTATGCATCTGTTGACAGTTATTTTAAGAAACAAATATGTAATCTTTACATATTTGTTATATTTATTTTTTTGAATCAAACGTATGGGTTAAATTGATAAGTCTTCTTCAATATGTTCGACTGATAAGTCTTATTCAAAATAAGTCTTACTCAACGACGATTTATTTCTCAGATGGTGATTTTCTTGGAAAAAGGAATTGTAAATACCAATCATCGTCATCGGATTGAAAATGAGTTGTTAATAATTGTGAAACTCGGAAAAAAATTGAATTTTTTTTCTGAAAAGGGCAAAATGATAATTTGTCATTCTAATGCATGTTTAAAATACATATTTTTATAAAGCTCGGATGAGACAATGGACCTTACCGTTAGATTTGCATCGCGAAATCTAGCTGCCCTGTCAATTTTAATCGAATTCTGAGATAGTTGTCTGGTGACCCNTATTGATGGATCCAGAGGAAATCTCATTAAGTTTTACTCCTTAATTTTTTTTAGGTCACATACTACAATGCGCGCGCGCGCACACACACATGTGTGAGAGAGAGAGAGATGCCCATATTAATTTTTTTTCTTTTTGTGTAAAGATGATAAAGAACAATAATACTATACTAACTAAAATTAGGAACCAAAAAAAGTGACCAAATGACATGGCGACTAATGTGGAAGACTAATCAACCTTCCACGTCAGCCGCCCTGTCATTTGATTACTTTTTTTAGTTTTTAATTTTGATCGGTGTATCATTATTGGATAAAGAATGGATGTATGATCTTTTGTCGAAGAAAGATTTCTAGATTCCCATCCATAACACCCATACACGAATGACAAATGCATCCATGATCGAATTAACCATGCATATAAATCCTAGCTAGCTCGGCAAATTGTATCAAAAGAAGAGGAAAAGTACTTAAACAAAGCAAACAGTGACCCAATTTTCTAAATAAAGAAGAGCAGTTTGC